GGAATGGTAGAGAATAATTTTTCCATAGCTCTTTGAAATAAAGCAGGGGCAGAAGCAATACCATATAAAAGACGATTGCACTTATACAATCCAAGATGAGTGTTGATAACCACTAAATTTTTACTTTCGTCATCCAATTGGAATTGGTTATAGGCATCACTTAAGTCAAAGGTAGAGAACTTCTCACCTCCAAGTAGTTTCATAGAGATTTCTTCCAAACGAGGTATTGGATGGACATCTATTTGTAACATCTTATTCAAGGTTAGATTGAAAAGTCCAGCTATCTTAACACTACCATCATTTTTAACTACTGGAATTATAGGTGTGGCCCAAGCACTGTTGGATATCTTAGAAATTACTCCAGCCTTTTCTAACCTAGATAACTCTGCTTCAACTTTATCCCTGAGGGAAAAAGGAACTGTCCTTGGCTTCAGAAAAATAGGATGTGCATCTGGTTTTAACGTTAAATGAAGGAATATTGATTTAGAACATCCGATGCCTTCAGAAAATACAGTAGAATATTTGTCTAGTAGGGTAAGCAGATTAGAGTTTGTATGAGGAATCCTGGGAATAATACTATTGATTTTGCATGAGAGCTTTAACTCTCGAATCCAATCTCTTCCAATGAGGTTAGCATTACCATGACGAACCACATAAAGGCGAAGTTTATAGCTAGAACAATTGTAAAGAACTGGTACTATAATAAATCCTAATACATTCAACTTGAAATTTCCATATGTGCAAAGAAAATGTTTAGACTCATGTAAAGAAAAGGATGATAAGTCTCTGTTGAAAGTGGATTCAGAAATGATGGAAAGTGGGGAGCCAGTATCAACTTCAAAACTAATGTTCTTCTTATTAATAGAAAGGGTGAGAATAATAGGTGGAACTGGTGTGGAGACATCTTGAATATTGAAAAGATTTAAATAAGATGAATTATCTATCTCTAAGTAATCATTTGAATCATTGTCAGTATGAGATAGTTGGTGTATGCTCACATGAGAATGTTTAGTTTTTCCACAAACCCTTGCAATATGACCAAGAATGCCACATTTATTACAGGTAAA